AAATAAGTATCCATGACTTAGAGTGATATAGATAATTCATACATTTATTGACCTGGTTTAGCTGTGTGTGTGTGTGTGAGAGAGAGAGAGAGAGAGAGAGAGAGAGAGACAGACAGACAGACAGACAGACAGACAGACAGAGACTGAGAGAGAAACTAGGGTTAAACTCATGGCCTCATTGAACTCCATCCCTGTCTCCTCCTTTTATTTTGAGACAGGGACTCCTTAAGTTACCCAGTTACCAGTGCAGCCATCTTTCTGCCTCAGCCACCCAGAGCAGTGGGTTTGTAGGAATGTGCCATCCTGCCTTGCCAAGGCATTTGCAAACATGAAAGAATGCCATTTTCTGTACAGTGTTGGATTCACCAAAATTATTTTATAAGTAGCTCAAAAGTGAAAGCAGCACACCAGTTCTAGCTACTGTACAGTATTTGGGAAGTGAATACAGAAAAGTCACAAGTTGGGAGCCATCTGGGAAAATGTGGGAGACCATTTCAAAAAATGAATGAGGGCAGAGCCTGAGATGTAGCAGTGCTAGGAATCTTATTAACATACTTGAGGCCCTGGGTTCAATCTCCAGTCCCACAAAAGAGCTGTTTCTCCGAGAATTCTGAGTAATACAAGTAGATAGTCTACTCCTCAGAAGGTGGAGCTTAATTACCCTGATTTCTTTTGAGTGTGGGCTGGATTTGCTGACTTGTCGAATTAGAGTATAAAAAGAAAAGTAGTAACTTTAAAAATCTGGCAAAGATAATCTTAAGAGATAGGGGTGAACAAAACGCCCTTTCATTACGTCATATTGGGGTACATGCGATCAGGGTACATTGATCGCGTGTACCCCAATATGACGTAATGAAAGAGCGTTTTGTGTCTTAAACCCACAACCCTCAACCCAATCCTGAAGAAAACATGAGACAGATCCAGCTTGGAGGCATTCTGTGTATTACCTGACCAATGTCTTCCAGAGTATTGAGGTCATGAAAGGCAATAAAAGACCGAAATACACAGAGGAGACCAAGGAGACACAAGCACCTAATGCTTTGTGTCCTAGATTGAATCGTGGGACAGAAAAATATTAGTGAAATAGCGGGTAAAAATGAGGAGTTAATGTACCAATGCTGATTTCTGATTTCTTATGTATAAGGGTAGTAGTAGATATTAGCATTAGGATAAAGGATATGAGGAAATTCTGAATTTCCTTTGCAGCTTTTTATTGAAAATCTTAATTTATTTCAAAATTACGTTTATACACAAAAAGTACCTTTAGTGGCCACGGCTTATCTAACCTTTTATCTAACATTTTGGTTTTTTTTTTTAATTTTTATTTATTTGTGTGTGTGTGTGTGGCCAGCTTAGCCCACCAGGGGGCGGGGCTGGCTGGCATGTGGTGCTGGGGGATTTAACCGCGGTCCCTGTGCTTTGCTAAGCTTGTTCTAAGTAGGTGCTTTAGACCACTGAGCCATCTCACCAGCCCAACATTTTGGTTTTTAAAACACTTGGATAGGAAAAAAAAATACTCTCCAGTTGATTTTATGCGCCTTGTAAAGTTTTGGATTTTAAAACTTGTACACTAAACCATCTCCCTACCTACATGAAAAGATGACAGGAAAGTTTCCCAGCCTCTGCTTAGTTTGGGGTGAGAAAGAAATACCCAGTGTAAAGTTAAATTTTAGGCTCAGCTTCTTAGCACTTTGGAAACGCTCTCAGAGAAGTTGCGCAACATTTTGATTTTAGATTGTTAACAAATTTTTAAAACAACTGCATTTCAAGTGAGAAAAGATGGTTTATGATTGGAACATTCAATTAACCAATGCTTTTTTGTCTTAAACATCTTACATTCTTAAATTACATTTAACGGATACTATTTCTTTTTCCTTTTTCCCTTCCCTCCCCTCTTCCTGTTTTTTTTTTTTTCCCAGCACTGTAGTTCAGACTGGCCTTGGACTCAACAGTGATCTGCTACCTCAGTCTCCCAAGTGCTGGGGTTGCAGGCTTGCGTCACCATGTCCAACAGTCCTTTCAGTTTTGCAATTAAATTTTTATGAATGAAGCTTAATTTCTCCTAGCAGTGTAGGAAATGTAGCAAATATTGAAAGGGTGGTTATAATGTCTGAACAGCAACAGACATACGTAGTAGTTTTTTTAATATTAAATTACAGTGCATGGTAAGGTTGTGAATGCTATAAGGTTGTGGCAGTCCTCACTAGCAGTAGATGGTCCAACACATTGTATCAGATTGCCAAGAATATCGTTTGCTTGTTTATTTTTTGCATCTCTGGGAATTGACTCCAGGGCCTTTACCCTGAGCTATATCTCCAGCCCACCCCCACTGCTCTAGCCCCCACAAGACAAGTCTTGGTAAGTTGCCCAAGTGGACTCTAACTTTTGATCCTTCCTGCCTCACTCTCCCAGAGTGTTAGTTACAGGTATACACCATCACGTCTGACCAAAAACATAATTAGTGCAGGATTGTCATCATTTCTTCTACATATCTATATGATTTACTGTTTTAGATTATTTATGTCAGTTATTTTCACTGAATAAACGTGCACTTTTGGCATACACCAGTATAAAGAAATTGAGCGAGTTCAAACCAAAAAAAGAAATTTGTATTTCCAGACCTTGTAGTTACCCTGTAATTTACCAATAATCTATAATATTTAAAAAAAATTTGTTGTTATCTATAATTTTAAAAACCTATAGTATTACCATATTTGCTTCAGTTTTTTTGTTTTTGTCTTTTTTGAGACAGGGTCTCGCTATGCAGGTCAGGCTGGCCTTGAGCTCACTTTGTAGCCCAGACTGGTCTTGAACTCGCAACAATCTACCTCCCGAGTGCTGGGATTATAGGTGTGCCTTGCTTCAGATTCCTTGCTTCTGTGATACTTTTTTTTTCCAGGAGGAAGGTTGAGACAGAGTCTTGATAGTAGTTCGAGGTGGCTTCGAACTCTTAGCAGTCCTCCTGCCTCGGCCTCTGCAGTTATGGGATTACAGGCATGTGCTGCCATGCCCAATATGTGCTGTATTTTATTTTATTTTTTAAGTTTATTTATGTATTTGGAACAGAGTCTCACTACACAGCTCAGACTCAGTGATTCTCCCGTTTTCAGCCTCCCCAGTGCTGGGTTTATAGGCATGGGGCGCCACACCCAGATGGTTTCCAGCTCAGTGCACCCAGGGATAGGACCGGTGCAGCATGCTGTATGCAGGATCAAACCCTATCCCTGCATTTGCCTATGTAGGCACTTAGTTCTATGAGCTATCTCGCTAACCCAATGTGTGCTGTATTTTAAAGTCAGCATTTTTGTTTTTTCAAAATGTAGAACTATAAAAATTTAGGCACTAGCAAGCAGTTATTTAAGAGTAAGACTGGTAAGGGGAGATGGCTCAGTGGTGTAAGTGCCTGTCTGGCATGTGCAAGGTCCTGAGTTTGATCTCTGGTACTCTCCTCCCCTCAAAAAAAGACTGTTGTAATATCTGTATATAATTCTTCAGTGTAAAAATGCACACAGTGTGAAAACATTATAAATCCAAGATATCGCAATTAGGAGTTGAAAATATGCCTTTTTTATGGCACTGTAGTACTGCTACATCTAAGGTAAATTCTCATCTTCACAATTTGTACCCTCACAAACCTTAAAATCTTAGCAGAGCGGGAGAATGGCAACTACCTGTTTGTACCTGATGTTGCTCCAGTTATTGATACTGATGGAGTTTGACAGTATTTAGATTCTGGTATCTATTTAATCGTGTGATCATGGGCACATGACCCCACTTTCCTCATCTCTAAAGGGTTAATAATATATACTTTAAAGGTTGTGTGCAGTGAAAGGGATTAATAGATACAACGAACTTAGAATACTACTTACTTAGCACTTAATATTCAGTATTTGTTAACTGATTTCCAAGTACACTATCATGTTAATATTTTCATCTTTTGTGGTTTTCATGTTGTTTTTATTTTTATGATATAAGAATATGAAGTCCTTTAAAGAAAGTTTTGGGACTTAACGTTTAATTGAACTGCTAACCTGTCATGAATGAAAAAATTGGTCAGTAGTACAAATAGATTTATAAAAAATAGAATATCCTCTTTGATTTTATGATAAAAAACCAGTGCTTTTTAGAAGCTTTTGTTTAGTGTAGGAAATAATTATAGCTCCCTAGTCTGTTACATTTCTGCAGTTTTCCTTATATAATGCTTTTATTACAGAGGGTTGTATATGAAGTTTTACAAAGTAACATTATTTTAAGAGAAGTTGTGGACGTGGTAGCATACACCTATTGTCCTAGCTACCTGAAAGGCTGAGGCAAAAGGATTGTTTGAGCCCCAGAGTTTGAGGCCCACCTGGGAGACATGGCAAGACCTGTCTCAAATAATTTTTAAAATAAAAGTAAAACTGTAACTCTCACGAAAGGATGACAGTCTGAATTTGCTTTTGTTTTTTGGTACCAGGAATCAAAGGCAGGGCCTTGCACTTGCCAGGCAAGAACTTGTGCTGCTGAGCTATATTCCCGGCCCTGATAATATGAATTTATTCAACTGTGCCTCTTACAGGCTCTGATAGATTGACAATCTGAATAAAATAATCATTGTTTATTAGCCTTAAGCTTTAGTATATTTATGTAATACAGTTTAACTTTTTGATTTTTGTTTTTTCCTTATGGGACTAAGGATTAAACCCAAGGCCTTTTTCATGCTAGGCAAATAGTCTACTACTAAGCTACATTCCTATCCATTTTAAATTTTGAGATGAGGTCTTACTGAGTCGCCCAGGCTGTCCTTGAACTTGTATACTCCTGCCTCAGCCTCCCAGGTAGCTGAGATTATAGGCGTGCACCACCATAGCCAGCTACGGTTTTACTGCTTTATAGTATCACTTTATATGATAAAGAAGCTATGATTTATTTTTAATAAGTGTATTGTAAGTATCCCCTTAACTTTTTCACTTTGAAAACTGCATTTCCTGTTTGAGTAAACTATAAATTTCCTTTTCTAGGAAAGAATACCCACCTCATGTCCAAAAAGTTGAAATTAATCTTGTAAGGTTAAGTCGGCCCCAAGGTGTTGGTAAGTGTGCAGTTTTGCTATGCTTGTGAAGGGTTTTGAGTTGTGCATGAAAGGTACAAATAAAAATAAAACTCTGAGTTTAGATGTTCCTACATATAATAGAAATAAAAAGATAAAAAATTAACTTTATTTGAGAATTTTAACTTGAATGTGATACTGTTGAACTGATTACAGTCCAATGAATACAATGAAATCATAGTCTAGTGAGTGCAATTTTGTTTTTAAAAAATCAAGTGTTAAAGACCTGAAACTGCACAGTGTTGTCTTTTCAGTTAACGATTTAATCCTAAATTTAGGATGCATTAGATTAAGTACATTAAAATGAGGACTTAACCTGATAAAACAGTGTTAAGAATAGATACTGGAAAAAGTGTGAATAGAAATATATTTGCAGAAATTGTGTGTATTTATGTATACACACACACACGTATATGTATCTAATACTAGGTTTCATAGTGAGCAATTTTTAATAAACTAGTTAGGGGGCCGGTGAGATAGCTCAATGACATAAGTGCCTGCCCAGCAAGTGCAAAGTCCAGAGTTTGATCCCCGGTACCACATACAAACATACAAAAAAAATATATTTTAATGCTAAAATAAGAGCAGGTGTTACTTGTGAAAAATATTTCACTGTCAGGGTTTTTTTTTTTTTTTTTTGTATTTTAGGGCAGGATCTACAGGGTGTCAGGGTCTCACTACTAGATCAGACTCATAGTGATCTGCCTGTTCACAGTCTCCCAAGAGCTGGTATTATAGGCATGTGCCACCACACTCAGTCTCATTCGCCTTCTCAGCGCACCCAGTGTGTAGGCCGGAAAAGCAAGCCTGTGGATCAAATCCCCGGCCCCTGCACAATCCGCTGAGCTATTTGACTTGCCCTTGGATTTATTTTAATTATCTAAAATACTGAGTCCTTGTGTATATTCATTTTCCTAGGATTTACTTGGTTAAAAAGTTCTAATAGCTCTTAGTTCCAAAATCTAATGATTTTCTTTTTTATTTTATTTTTAATGTACTTGGTTGTTACAGGATCTCATTACGCAGCACATACTCATAGTGATCCTGCTATTTTCAGCTTCCCCAGCACCGGGATTACAGGGTATGCCACCTGGACTCTGGCCGGCTCAGCCTGCACTGGGGATGGGGCTGGCGTGGCCTATGGTACCAGTGATGAAACTGCAGTCCCTGAGCTTGCCTAAGCTTGCCCAAGCAGGCGCTTTAGTCTGTTGAGCTATCTTGCTGGCCCCCCAAGTCTAATTTTAAATAGCTGAGTTTTCTTGGTACCTAAAAGTTTGTTTTGTGAAAATCTTTTCTATTTTGCAGTAAAAATGCTTTGTTCATATATTGAGCATAACTCTGTATTACAATATTTACCCAAACTTTATCCTTTCTTGTTGCAGTCACTTTGAATATTAATAATTATACTTTGCAGTACATAATTATGTTTGTGTTTATTAAGTTTAGTGATAGTGACTGCCTTCAACGTTATGTTACACTATCACTGTCTAGCTCTTCCTCTGTACCGATATTAAGTCCAGTGTTTTATAGTCATTGTTTACTACTCGTAGCGTCCTACCCAAAAATCCCTATAGCATAAGTTGATCTCTTCCCTGTTTTGTACAGCGGATGAAGCTGAGCCTCAGAGTGATTAGATGTAATTTGCTCAAATACCCAGAGGTGGCAAGCACTAGAGCTGACATCAGAACCTAGGTCTGTTTGATGCCAAGTCCTGTGCTTTTGACCACTGCATCTTACTACTTTCTTGTTCAGTCACTTAGAAAGTAATTTTTAATCCTAAGAATTGTGGAAATACTGTCGCATCCATTTAACAAATGCATTTCAGAGATGTTAAGTGGTAGAATTTTAGCTACTGACAGTTCAGGCAGTTTTGTTATAAATAACTAAAGACCATTCATGAGGTAATAGTCTTAATCTTTGTTATCAGCTTTATTTTAAAATATAATGATACCTCAGTGGTAGAACTCAGTTTGTTCTAAATTCATGTTCGAACACTGAAGTTTGATAACTGAACGTATTTTTCCTGTAAGAAATAATGGAAAATTAAATAATTGGTTCTGTGACCAAAAATTACACTTACAAATTCATTTTTCCCGGATTTTAACAAATTTCACATTGATTTCTTTAACTATATTATGATTCACAGTTTTCCTCTTAGTTTTACTGTTGGTATTACTGGCTTTCTTTACAGCCATAGTAATATTTTATGTGACTAAAGTGCAAAAAATAACATACAGGCACTATCTAGGTGAGAGTGGTGTGTTAGACTGAAGTGTCACCCCCTTGTGTCCGTGGCAAGATGCCGCAAGCATGACTCACTCAGCCCACGTAGGTTTTTCAAGTCTGATATTTGATTGGCCTATCAAACAAAGCTGTGAACACCAACAAAGTTTTTTCTAACTTTGCCATTCGAGTAATGGAAAGTTTAGGCTTGCAGAAAAGTTCCAAAATTAGTACAGAGAGATGACTTTTTAATCCTTCACCCAGCTTTTCTTCATATCTTTCAAATAGTACATTCATCAAAATTAAGACATTGACATTGGTATGAGATTCCTAACCAAGCTATTGTCCTCATTCACATTTTTTAAAAATTAATTAATTAATTAATTTATTTATTTATTTATTTTTTGCAGAACCAGGGGTTGAACTCAGGTCCTTACTCTTGCCAGGGAAGCGCTTATTCCACTGAGCCATCTCCCCAGTCCCCTCATTCACATTTCATCAGGGTTTTTTTCATGTCCTTTTTCTGTTCCAGGGTCCGGTTGGGATCCCCACATTGCATTTACTTGTCAGGTTTCTTAGTTTCCTTCACAATTTTGAGGACTCGTTTGGCTACTTTGTATAATGCCTCTTCCGCTTGAGTTTGATGATGTTTTGTTATGAGATTGACTATGCATTTTGATAAGACTTAGAAAAGGGATGTTGTACTTCCTGTCAGTGAATAGTACCAAGGATTACATGACATTCTTATGCCTTTCTCCTGGTGATACACACCTTGATCGCTTGGCTAAGGTAGTTTCTGCTGGGTTTTGTAACTGTAAAATACTGTTTTTCTATTGGTATAAAGATATTAAATGATATACTCCAAGACTATATAATTGTTCTGCTTTTCCTTAGAGTTTCATGTACTAATTTTATTAACATTCATTGGTGGAATTTTGTTTTTCTTTTGGCATTACTGGGTATTAAACCCAGGACCTCACATACAATAGGCAAAGGCTCCATTACTGAACCACATCTCCAGCCCGCCAGTGCCAGTAGGATCCTGCTACAATACCCAGGCTGGCCTAGTACTTGTGATGCTCCATCCTCAGTGTCCGAGTAGCAGAAATTAGAAATAGACACCATCACTCCTAGCTTATTAATAGGGTCTTGCTGGCAACAATTATTGTTTGATCCTTGGCTAATGGTCATTATCTGTTTTCATCCCTTACATTTATTAATTCTTCTGTAGGGAAGAGTTGTGCTTCTACATGAGTCTTTAGATCTTTGGGATGGTGATTAATAAAAGAGGTTTACATGGGCAGTACTTACAGTCTTTAGGGCAGAGATGTAGATATATTTAACATATAAACATTTTTTTTTTTTTTTTTTTTTGTGGAAGCGGGGATTGAACTCAGATCCTTGCGTTTGCAAGTCAAGTGCTTATCCTACTGAGCCATCTCCCCGGCTCCCTAAACATTTTTGAAAGGAAGAGAGTTATATGAGATGCTGCAGCTTTTATTTAAATACAGTTTGCTAAAGAAAGACATCAGGTAGAGAAAACCGTGTATTACATTTTAATACTAAATTTATTGAAACATCATGAAATTAAGTTACCTTTAGTCTCTACAATACAAGAGGTGTTTAAAATGGTACCCATTAGCTTCCAAACATTTATCGTATGGCAGACTGCTGAACATGTATACAGTTTTTGGGCAGACTCTGTACGTTGAAGATCAACAGAGTCCTCTCTTTTTAACTTCTTTTGTGTCAGGTAGGTGAATATATATTTGGGTGTAGGATGAATAGCAATGCCATAATAATACTGAACATATTGTTTCATGAAGATTGTGTTTGCTTTAGGATTTCCATTGGATATCCTAGGATCACTTGGCATAGTTCTTGGAATAGTTTTCTCTTCAAAAGAATTACATGTCTTTCTGTTGTTTGCAACTCAGATTATTTGTTCTATTTTTCTTTATTTTGAATTTAAGAGGCACTTAATATGAATTTTGATAATTCAGAGACATAGATCAGCATTTACCAGCAGTGGTAAGCAGTTTTGTAGTTTAAAAACAAACACACAAAAAACTGAGGCTTATAACACACGCTTATAATCGCTGCACTCTAAGAGACTGAGGCAGGAGGATCACAAACTCAAACCAGCCTGGGCAATGTAATGATTCAGTGAGATTTTTCTCTCAAAGTAAAAGTCTCTGTGAGGTACTAAGTTGTCCTGGCTAGCCTCCAACTTGTATCCCCTGATCTCAGCCTCGTAGTGTTGAAATTGCAGGTCTGTGCCTCCATGTTTAGCTTGAATACCTTTTCATGTAATTATATTATAGCATGGCCTTTGGTATATGTACAGAATCCTCTCACATGGGACAAGACAGGGCTGCTATCCTCACTGTAGTGTAGTAGAACTTTGGGCCTTTTCTCTCTGTATATTTATACAGTCAGTTCTCTACATTTATATAACGTAGAGAATTTAGATGTTGTAAGTAATGTAGAGATTATTCATGGTATACAGGAGGTACATAGGTTATATGCATCCCATTTCATATAAGTTATATTTGCGCCTTTGCAGGTTTTGCTCTTTCAGAGGTCTTAGAACAAGTTCGCAACAGACAGTAAGGGAAGACTATGTATTATTTAATACAGTATATACACTGTTCTCTACATTGTGTTATGAATTTGTTTTTAAGTAGGATCTGATAGACATGTATTTGAGCAAAATGATGTACACAGGATTTTTGTACTTATAAAGTTTAGTAAAATATGTTTATGAGGGAAAGGCTATTTGTATACTAATGATTTTAGTAAGGCCAGAAAACTGGACGTGGGAGTGTTTTGGGTTTTGCTTGGTTTGGGGTATTTGAGGTAGGGCCTCTGTGTTTCTCAGGTTGGTGTCTCATTCTTATAGGGCCAGTCAGTGCCCCTCAGCTGAGCTCTAAGTCCTTAGAACATTATGCCCTGCTTGGCTGGTTGTGGTTTAATACTGTTGCACTGTGAATTAAATTTCACAAGTGTCTCAATTTTTTCTTGTTGTTGGGACAAAATATCCAACACCCAAAATTGAGGAAGGAAAGGCATATTTAGCTCAGTTTATAGATGTTTCAGTCCATAATTAGCTAGGTCCAAGGGAGAGAGTAGCACATGGCAGAGGGCTGCAGTTCAAGGCAGCAGGAAACAGCAAAAGCAATGAGAGCAGAAGGGAGGAGCAGGGACAGAGAGCAAGCCTCTTTCCCTCCCTTATGTTGCTATATTTATTTCAGGCTACCCACCCCAGGGCAGGTGTAGCACTCACACCTATTATCCCAGCATTGGATCATGAATTAATCACATACTCTGAAAGCCCGCTCCATGACTGCATGAGGCTTTGGGGAAACATCTAGACACAAACCATAACAAGTAATTGATATGTTCTGGGTAGCTGTATATTTTTTGATTTCCAAAATACTGTCTACCTCCAGTTTTTTATTTGTGCCACATAAGAGCACTGTAATAATCACTTGTGTAGAAATTGCTTTTTTTTTTTTTTTTTTTTTGCGGAACCGGGGATTGAACTCAGGCCCATGCGCTTGCCAGAGAAGTGCTTATTCCACTGAGCCATCTCCCCGGCCCAGAAATTGCTTTTTTATAACCAATTAAAGTAAGTTATCCGGGCTGGAGAGATGGCTCAGTGGTCTAAAGCACCTACTTGGAACAAGCTTGGCAAAGCACAGGGACCGCGGTTCGATCCCCCAGCACCACATGCCAGCCAGCCCCGCCCCCTGGTGGGCTGAGCTGGCCACACACACAGACACAATAAATAAATGTTAAATAAATAAATAAATTTAAAAATTTAAAAAAAAAATAAAGTAAGTTATCCTTCATGGAAATAACACCTGAACACTCTGGATGGGCAAGGCCTCTTTCTCTGTAATCTCAGATGTAATATCTTAGGAGGAAAAAGGAGCATCTTTCAGTTGTACTCGGTGGCTGGAGGCTGAGTTTGTAAGAATCTGAATCTGTGTGCGAATCATCTCTGTGTGACAAAGGGTAAGGCACCTGCAGAGAAGACATGAGAATGTCATGTCTCCCACTACTCATGTAATTTAATCTTTTTTGTATGTCATATAGTTTTATCCCCCTCATGTAATTCACTGATGCAGAAAATGTTTATCTAATCCTTGTGCTATTTCTAGATGCTGGGAAAGCATGTCACTAAAAGATTTCTGTTCTTTCAAAGCTATTACTAAGGGAAACATCAGTACAAATAAATATAGTAAAATAAAATGAATGTGCATGTAAGCACTGATAAAGTTTAGAAATTGCTTATTGCAGCAATTCCAGGATTGCTTATTGCTCCAAGAGTGGGACAGAGGCAGCTTCTTAGCAAAGAAAGCATTGAATTCACCAGAGAGACTGGAACTGACATTGTTTATGACGAGAACAGCATGTGTAAGTGGGTAGAAGGATAAACACCATGGAGAAATGTACCTCTTTGAGTTAAAGTTTGGAAGTAAGGCTGGAGTGTCATCATTACTTTTTATTTGCCAAGTTGAGATTTAGGTTTTTCACCTTAGTTGCTTGGAATATTTTAATTTTTAGGTGGATAGCATCGTATTTTTGTGTTAGAACACTTTGGCAGTTGTGAGGAATTATTCCCCCCGCCCTTTTGTTTGTTTGTTTATTTTGCTTTATAGAGACAAGGTCTCCCTATGTAGCCCAGCTGGCCTCAAACTCACGATCCCCCTGCCTCAGTCTCCCAAGTGCTAGAATTACAAGCATGTGCCACCAAGCCCAGGTGTCCACAGTGGGGAAGAATTAGAAGCAAAAGTGGAGATCAGCATAGGCAAGAGTTAAGCATTTGAAATAAGAGTTAAGTAAAGGAGAGACAAGGAATAGTCCAGAGTATTTAATAGTCCAGAGCTGTGTTTTCCAGGAATATATGGCCACAAAAGCTGAGAAATGGTAATCACTCAATGAGCTTCTGTGTGATTTCATTAAACAAGAATGATTTTTTAGGCTTCTTAATGGATTGGCTGTCAAAATGCATACTAAGTTGATGTTTTATTCTTAAATCAGATGAGAACAGACTATTAAAGATAGGAAATAGAAATATGTAGCAAGGTTGGGATTATGAAGATAGGGCACTTAAATTTACATTGAGAGTACAAGGAGAATTCTCTTCTGTTTTTCTTGAACTTAAAAACATGTTAGTTTGAACTTAGTTTAGTTTTATTTAGTAGACCCTTATTAAAATATATGTTGGTTTAGCGCAGGAAGCACTTCTATTGTTTTAGTAACACACAGTAAGTTGAAGGGGACAGCAGCATATATGATGCCATCTCCTGGAGTGAAGATCCTGCTGAGAAGCTCAGTGTATACTAGAACAATCAGGACCTTTCTGCTGGCCTAGACTTTGAGTTCTACTTATTTTTATTGTGCATGTTGAAACACTAGTCTAAAACTTAATATCTAGAAATATAAACTGGTATTTTTTTTTAAAGCAAAGATCTTAAGGAATCTATTAAATTTAACTTCAGTACTTTTTTCTTTTTCCTTTAGAACGTATAATGAAGAAAACAGAACAGTCTGAATCACAAGTAGAGCCTGAAATTAAGAGGAAAGTACAACAGAAACGGACATATCAGCCTACTTCTCTGTCTCCTGCTTCAAAAAAAATTTTAACCCATTTAGAGGTAGGTAGAGAAGTATTCCTTGTTGCTAATCAGGTGGAATTTTTATTAATATTGCTTTTAGAGCTTGTTAAATTCCAGCTCATCTTTTTATCATAATACCAGAAAAAACTGCAAAGTTATTTAGCAAACTTTTCTGTCATTAGACTTTTTTTTTTTTATCATTATTTCCCTGTCCATTATAAACCTTTTCAT